ATTATTTTATCAGCCCGTGTGAGGCTACGATTATCACCTCTGCTTGCTTAGCGTCTCGTTACAAAGCTATCGCTCCTCGGGCTTCAAGCTAGCACTGTTGAACGTTGAACTTCAACTCAGGGAATGCTGCGGCTTGTGTACTTCAGGAGTCGTGCTGCTGGGTATGACCCGTGCAGGAGATTATCAATCTTGTCTCGCGCGTCCTCCACCTCAAGTGAATATGAACACTTCTACCGGTACACCTCGGGGCGGTGGATACACAACGAGGAAGCCCAACTAGCTGCCAGGTACACCAGGTTCAACGTTGACGCTCTCAAGAGCATCGCTGTCTCTGCTGGGCATGCGGACTCTGTTACGCGTATCGTCAAACTGGCAGAAGGGGCATACAACAAGGTCTTCCTGCTAACACTCGACAACTCAAGAGAGATCATTGCGCGCATCAAAACGCCGCATGCGGGCCCAGCGCATCTCGTGACCGCGAGCGAGGTCGCGACGATGGATTTCGTCCGCAGTCATCTAGGTGTACCTGTGCCGGCTGTTCTCTCATGGTCATCCCATAGCGAGCAGACTCCCGTGAAAGCGGAGTATATAATCATGGAGAAAGCCCCGGGCATTGAGGTCTCCACCGTCTGGGACAAGCTTTCGAGGAGGCAACAGAGGGAGCTGGTGATCAACTGGTTGGAGATCGAGAAGCGCCTCATGGCTCCCATATCCGGAGGGTATGGCAGCTTATATTACAGAGCCGACGTGGAGCCATCTCAATACCTAAGTCTGTATCCCAACGACGAGTATCAGTCCGATTTTGTGGTGGGGCCTTCTGTCGAGAGGCATTTCTGGTCCGACGAACGGTCAAGCATGGACGTCGATCGTGGTCCTTGTACGCACGCCGACTGCCTTGCGTTCGTCTTTGGCTGAACATCCTGTTATCTAGGGGAGGACCCCTTGTCATACGTGCTCGCCGTGGCGAACTGCGAACGGCGCTGGATAGAAAAGCACGCCGTCCCCGCCCAGGAATCCGGCCTCTTCGACATGCCAGTGCACCTCCGCCAGCCGCGCGCCCACCTATCCCTCTTGGACCGCTACTTCGCCGTCGCCCCGTATCTGGTACCCCAGGACCCTTCGCTGCTAAGGCCGCTCCTCTGGCACAATGACGCGCGCTTTGCGAACGTGTTCGTGTCAGAGGACGTGTTGGCTCGCGGGGAGGTGCAGATCACGAGCGTGATAGACTGGCAGCATACGGCGCTCCTTCCTCTATACCTGCAAGCGTACGTACCCAAAATGTTCCGGTACCACGGCACCACGGTCCTGCCTGCTGGGGACCAATTGCTCTCTTTGCCGGAGAACCTCAATACTTTAGATGAGGAGGACCAAGCCACCGTCAAGGCGGATGTGTACCGCGGCAATCTGCATAAACTGTACGAAATCTACTGTGCGAGGATCAACCCCGAGTATCATAAAGCGCTCACCCTGGCGACACGAGAGTTGATTCACTACCCCGTCAAGTTCTCCGCGAAAGTGTGGTCCAGCACGTTCATGCTCCTGCGCGAGTTCCTCATGCGCATAACCGCGCACTGGGACGCCATCGCCCCTGGCGCAAGCGTGCCCTGCCCCATCAGCTTCACCGAGGAGGAGAGGCAGGCGCACCTGGAGGAGCGCGAGGACTGGCAGCGCGCGCAGGACGGCAAAGACGGGCTGGATCGGATTCTGGGGGTGGACGCCGACGGATGGGTGACCGAGGAGGGGTATGAGGAGGCGGTGAGGAGGAATTGGGAGCTGCAGGAGGGATATGTGCGCATGGGCGCGGAGGATCCGGAGAGGGTGTTGCGGAATTGGCCGTATCGGCCGAGATGAAGTCGCCCCACGATGCCGCTGCAATAATGACTCGCCGCCTTCGTGATGGGCGAAGGCTTGTCCGGGTTTCTCTCGCCCGCCGGGGAAACCCCCACAAGTGCCATCGTGCTCGAAGGGGGATGTTCGCAAAGAGACAACATCAGTCGAGAACTCGAGTACAATAGTACACCCATAGGCAGGGGAACTTTTCTCCTCCTTCTTGAAACCCCCGCCCACCAACATCTGACTATCTACTCTCGATCGGGAAGTTTATTGTAAATATTATTGAGATCCGCGCGTTCTTCCTCGACAGTAGGCAACTTCTTCACCACCCTCGCCGGTGCGCCAATCGCGACAGAATACGGTGGTATGTCCTTCGTGACGACGGAGCCCGCACCAATCGTGCACCCGCGCCCGATGGTGACGCCGGGGAGGATGATGGCGCCGCCGCCGATCCAGCAGTCGTCCTCGATGCGCACGGGCAGGCCGTACTCGACGAACTTGATGCGCGAGAGGACGGAGGTGTCGTGCCCCGCGCAGTAGATGCTCACGTTCGGCCCGCACTGGACGCGGTCGCCGATGACGACGAGGCTGACGTCCAGGACGGTGAAGCTGCGGTGAGTCAGGATGTCAGGGGACAGCACGCAGACGCAACTGGGGGCCGCACTTGAAGTTGAAGAAGCAGTTTTTGCCGATGATGGTGTTGCACCCGTAGTCGGGGGTGAAGGGCGGCTCGATGAAGGTGCCCGGCCCGACCCTGCCGAGCATGTTCTGCAGGAGGAGCTGCTGGGTGTGCGCGTGTTCGTCGGGGCTAAGTGTGCTCGGGTCAAGGTGGTTGAATTCGTACGCCGTACAGCGTGCTGTGTGACGGCCCTCCAGCAGTTTAGGATGCAGGGGATCATACCTACATAGATCGAAGGACGAGGTCAGCAAATATTCAGTCGATGCATGCTAACACGAACAGCATGCCAGAAATCATCTTCTCATATTCTTCGCACCATGGCGTTCCCTTGAGGTTACGCGCTAGCTCGATAAGTTTCTCGTCTTTCTCCTTCCTGTAGCTAGCCATCGTTGCAGGAGGAGGATGCCCGGTTAAATATCGGCGTTTACCCCACACTGTGCAGATGTCGAGATGTCTATGTTTTGACTCGGTCATGACGTCAACAATCGACTTCAGTCCCAGTTCACTTGCAACGATGTCTGCTACACCTGCGAGGAAAGTTGCCATTGTCACAGGAGCCGCTCAAGGAATTGGCAGGGGCATCGCAGTCCGTCTGGCCTCGGACGGCTTCGACCTTGCTATCAACGATATTGCAGCGAACGCCGACAAGCTGAACGATGTGCTGAGAGACCTGACCGCTCACCGCATACAGCAGGAGCAACGAGTCGTTATTGTCGTCGCAGATGTCAGCAACGAGAAGGAGGTGAAAGATATGATAGACACCGTGGCTAACGAGCTAGGCGGGCTTGACGCGGTGAGCACGGGATCCCGACGGTACATCTGCACTGAGACCGACGATATCCCTCCGTAGATGGTAGCCAATGCGGGTGTCGTCGTGAATAAACCTATCCTCGATAGTGAGGCCTCTCCCCGACTTGCTACGCATCAGGTTTCTCAGAGGGTATTCCAGCGTCCGCCGATGAATGGGACCGCCTAATGAGCATCAACGCGAAGGGGACCTTCCTCTGCTACAAGTACGCTGCCGAGCAGATGATCAAGCAAGGGCGAGGCGGGAGGATTGTAGGTACGACCACCCTTCTAGGCGAACCAATCTTGGGCTGTATGCGCTAGACTAGCACTGAAATCGGTCTCACACAGGCGCGTGCTCCATCGTCGGAAAGAAAGGTACCATCCCGCACGACCGCAGCTACATATGCATCTCACCCCTTCTCCCCCATGAATCCTGAATTCCAGGCACGCCCGAAGCAGCGGCGTACTCCGCGTCCAAATTCGCCGTCCGCGGGCTCACCCAGAGCGCAGGTAAATCCTGCTGACCCTCTATCCATGCAGGCTCATTACTTTCACTCCAGCTCAGGAATGGGGAAAACACGGCATCACCGTGAACGCGTACGCCCCGGGACCCATAGACACCGATTTCCGTACGTCCGCTCACCACTCACCGAGTCGATCCTCACATATCCTTTCAGTCGCAAAGTTCGACGAGTACCACACCTCCAAATCCGGCGCTCCCAAGGGCTCCTGGCGCGAAGCGGTACGCGTCCTCTTCCCTCTCCTTCCAGCGGACTGAGATTACTGAGAACGCATATATCCACAGCAAAAGGCCACCACCGCGACGGGAACCCTGGGCACGCCACAGGACGTCGCGGGCCTGGTATCCTACCTCGTCTCGGACGCTGCCAGGTTCATTACGGGGCAGAGTGTGAGTAATTCTTCTGTTCTACCCTGAGCTGTGTCTTGGGTGGGTCGGGAAGTTGGATTATTGATTGTATGTGATGCAGATTATTATTGATGGTGGGGCGGTCTTTGATTGAGGCGCCGCCGCTCGACCAGGAGAACATTGAAAGCAGGGAGGCGGGGAGTGGTCTAAGTGTCGGTATGGATGTATCGTACGAGATTCGCGGGGTGTGTGTATCAGGAATTTGTTATTGTACTAACAGGATATAGCATGAAATTTCCATTTCGCTTGTGAGTGATTCATGTTTTGCATTGTCCCGGCCTGACTGTCGGCTACTGATCGTCTGCTACATAGATGCATTCCTTTTCTACCATCCGTTTACGGATCGCAGTGGACGCTATATGCACGCGGGACATGGTGCTCCTGTTAGTGTCCTCAGCCATGCAATCACGGTTTCAATCACGACTGACTGCCCAGGCCGCGTCAAGCCTCTCCCGAATGATTCCAATTCTAATTTGGTCTGGCACGCCATACCATAGCAAAGACCGACAAGTGACGACGAACAGGCAATAGCTAAACCTCGAGGGAAAAGCTGGCATTGCATTAGGAGAGCTCGCCGCTATATACCTCGTCTGCGGGTGGCTGGCAGGATGCTACAAGGTGGTTGCTACTATCCGATCAGTCGTACGGACTGTGAAGGACCGAACATACGGGGGGAAGGCTTCAGACTACCATGACAAGCAGGAGGGCTCAAAGAATGTACGTAACCTCCATATATGCGTCTGCATCGAAGCTGACCTGGATGAAAGTTCCCTGGACGACAGAACTATCCCGGTTTCCCACGCACCGCATATCAAACGCCTCGCATCGACGAAGTGTACGAAAGAGATACATGCTCCCTAGTTCGTCTCTCGGTCTCCATATCACACTCGCCCCTACTGACCGCACCCCAGTCACCCGCTCGCTCCCCCACCCTCTTCGATCCCGCGGAGTTCCCACCCAGCCGCCCACCCTCTTCACCCCCTCCTCCCCTCCCCCTATGCTGTCCCTAGCGTCCTTCGCCTGCACCGCCCGCCTCGGCAAGGGCGCCTCCGGCGTCGTCTTCTCCGCGCGGAACCGCGCCTCGGGGCGGCTCGTCGCCGTCAAACTGCAATTCCGTCGCTGACCTGCTTTCGACGCTACTTTGCTTCTCGAGCGCGTAGGCTTGTCTCTGTGGAGCTCTCGCGCCTGGCTCCAAGGAGCCTCGAACTCTGCCGTACGTGCTCCTAATCTGTAGTTTTCGACCGTCCTGTTTACACGGTCCATGCTGAATATCTACTCGTATAGTGAATTACTAGATTGCAAACTGCATGGCGTGGCACGCCTGCTTGCCTAGCTGTGGCAGGTCCGTGTCCTCAAAGTCGAATTTGCAGCGATCGAATTCCAGTAGGTACGCGCGGCTTCCATATTATACGTGGACTTGCCGTGACGTTGGCGCTGACAACCGATGACTCTTGTAACAGGTACTGCTCTATCGCGAAACGCCGCGCGCGCGGGCGTAGCGTAAGGTGTGATCGCGACGTTTTGATGCCTACAGATGTTCGCGCCGTCACGGTTGGATGGTGGGCCCATTGTGCTGCGTCTATGGAAATCGACCACTAGGTATTCTGCAAGACTCGAATGGTATGTATTCCGAGACCGGAGGCCCGGGAATCCGGGGCAGGGATGAGCTGCCCGTCGATCGCGCTCACCGGCAATGAGCGGCGGCGACCACTCCACGCGCGTACGTACGCTCGCGTCGTCCCTGAGTCAACCGGAGAAGCACTGACACTTGGGAGATTTCGCAGCGGATGGTACGGCTGCAATTTACCGTCTCCGCGGGGCGGTCACGAGATACGCTGGATTCGCGGGTATATAAGACAGGCGGTTTGGTAGGAGGTACGCTATCCTCTTCTCTCCCCCCCCCTTCTCTGTATGCGACGTGCGCTGTTCTGGTCGCCTGTGGCGACTGAAGCTGGCTGTCCTTTCCGCAGCTGAAGGGTCAGGATGTTGGTAAGAGTTTTGTATCGTCCCCTGTACCTCTCTATTGATAGCGCCCTCGCATTCCAGTGCTGATAGCTTGACGGCGCTGCTCGCATAAAGCGGCGAGGAGTTGAATACCAAGTAAGTCCCCCTTGTCCTATTTGAATAACAACGCTTGACATGAATGTATATTTTGCTGCTTCGGCTGTGACAAATATAACGCGCGGAAGATTGCGGCGCTACGGGTAATGGGTTCGTACCAGGAATGGTAAGCTATCATGATTGTCGTCATCGTCGCACTAGTCTCAATCGCCCGTGTAGATATTCAGAACGTCGGCTTTGAGCAAGGGTGATCTTCGGTGAGGGCTTGCTTGTGGGTGTTTATTGTCCTGTGCCTCGTCCGGGGATGACTAACAGATGAATACCAAGAATGTAGTCTCCCCTCGGTAGGTGTAATGGTACGAGCGCGGTATGCCCTTTAACGGAGTGATCACTTGAGAATATGGGGTAAGGAGGAGATTTTTACACCGCAGCTCTGCACTAACTGTACATGTGCTACCAGTCTCCCTGCCAATCATAGGTTCTTTCGGAGGTGACATGGCGGGGCCGCTGTTCAGTCTGTGCTGGATCGCACGTCGCTATCCGGATGTAAGGCTTACCGTACGAAGGCGAGGTCCGTCAAGAGCTATGTACGAGCAGGCAACCCGACGACAATTGCATTACCCCCGCTAGCTACGCTACGTACTGTACATCCCCGACTCCCACGCTAGTGGGGGGAGGGTTTTGTCGAGAAGAAACGTCCGCACTACCATACGACTCGCTCTCCGTGAGAAATTTATGTAATAAGGCTGTAAGGCCACACTTGTGTGGCAGGACCCGCTACCTTGGCTATGAACTCATTTATTTATATGCTGGGCGAGCTTTCAATTTATAGAATTCAAGGTCTCTGTGCTTCATTGCGGTAAAGGCCTGAGCGAGAAATATGATTCAGGACATTCTATGTCCGACCTCGCCATACCTCCGGGATCTACCTGATCCAACCTCCGGTGGCCAAGCAGACCTTGATGTGTAACCGTACGTTTTGACTCATGCTCCGTTTTGTCGAGTACATACCGTGTACAGTATATCTTACAGTGAGCCTGCCAGAGAGGCCCAGAGCGTGTGAAGCGAGGCCTAAGAGTGCGAAGGCAAGTCTGATCGTGGGAATCTTATATGCAATTTGTTTAGGGTAGGTCAGATCTTCGACAGATCTTGCAAAAATGGCGGGCGAGTTGATTAGAGACTCGCTCTAAAAACCCACTACCCAAGGTAGCGGGAATCGATTCAATATCTCAGCCCGATGTCACGTTGAACGGTTGATTGAGACGGTCTCAATCAAGCGTTCAACGTTCCTTTCGGGAGTCGGGGACTGGCGCTTGCGCCGCTACGATAGCGTAGTTTATCACGCTGTGCAACCAGGGAAGACGTGCCGTCGCCTTCACCGTCCCCGGCATGGTTCACGACGACGCACACTGTGGTGGAGTGTCTGCACCGGGCTTGACTAGTCCGTGTACGGGTCATGTCGGGCTGTGAGAGGCGGGGCGGGACGAGCCGTCATCTCTAGTACTCCTTCTCGGATGCGAGCGTGGATGGCTAGCAGGCGAGCGCTATGACCCGTCGCCGGGTGGCAATGCGAGAGCGGTGGCACCGAGTTCCCTCGTCGATGCTGGCGGTGCGCGTCCCTGAAGCACGTTGGTGGACGCTCGACGACCGGCGACGCCGGAGTGCTCGGGAGGCATGCCGTTAGGGAAGCGCCGGGGTCTGGTTGGTGGCAATCGCGCGGAAGCGGGGGAGGTAGCTGATCCCGCTTGCAGGAATGGGTCACTACTGGATAGTTTACTTGTTGTAGCCAGCTGCCCGATGAAATAAGAATTAACTGGACTTGCCTGGATAGAGTGTACAAGACAAGACCTGCGTCCAGTACTTGGGACATCTGAGTCCTGAGCCTCGGAAATTCTTGCAAGCGCTAGAAGTGTCACTTGCCTTGTGCTGTTAAGCTCAATCAACCGCGACTCCCACGATCCCGGTGCCCCATGATACCTGGCATTTCTGGGACGCCGGGAGGGCCTGATGGGCGAGGACTCGTTAACATCCCAGGAACGTCGTCGCGCAGTATATGCGCTGAAATCGGGCTGAGCGCTGGGAACGTTCTAAACGGCGAGTGGAAGTCGAAGAGCGAGGTCGGACGTCGACGAGACAAGTGCAGCGTCAAAGTCGAAGACGTCGGGCGGCAAGGGAGCGAGCACAACGACTTCTTCAAGAGCAGTATGCGACGGAAGCAAATGTGCAAAACAGCCAGGAACGAGCGAGGACGTGGCTGTCATACTTACACGTTATAAACTCGTTCCGAGAGCGAGCTGGTCACTGCTTAAGACAGTTACAACCTGTGAAATTGTCTGCAAGGTCATTGGACTGGGAAGACTGCTATCCATGACATTGACCTGGGCCCTAGTTGCTCTATATTTGGGGAGAACCTGTTAATTATTGTCTGTATCGCGGGATACTGATCCGTTAGCTGGAAGGGGGAGAAAATGCCGGTCTCGGAGTGAGGCTGAGCCTCCTGTTGTCAGTCGTGTCTTGACGCCAAGGGGCACCCACGGGCCTACCTCCTTGCTAATCTTACCTAGTGCGGGAGTACGACGTCTTCTTGACCAGACATGTTCAAAGTGCCTCAGAGTGCTTCCGGCCACCGCGCAGAGGCTGTCAACCCGTGGCGCTACATCAGCGCAGAGTGGGGACAGGAATAGCTTCATTTGATGAGAGAGAAGGTGCCGGCGTGCCTTTCGTGCGTATATTTGGATCGCACGGGAAGAGGATGCCTTCTCGAGCTTCGTGGGTCTTCGTCCTGCATCACCTGGTCGATGAGTTGCTGGTATGTCCTGGTTGTCGGAGATTGGTGGGCTCGTATGCTGATCCGTCAGTTGGATTCAAGCCGGGGTAATCCATGGCTACTTGCAAAAGTTGAGTGGTATTTACTCGCTGTCCTTCAGTTCTGTCAGTGGACAAAGGCGTGAGATGGCTGCTATTGGTCTTAAGGTTTTGTTAAGGCTTACCTGGTCTCTCTGGGCGACCCCGTTCTTGAAATATATCCGGCGGAATAATGCGAAGAAACACTTCTAGCCTGGATGTTGCGATCGTGGGTATCGCGAATTGCGGTCCGGGGCTCGTATGGCCAGGCTGTCCCGCTGAAATCGGGCATGAGATACAGGTGGTGTTCCGCTACGCCTGCGATATACAGCACCCCTTCCCAACAAACGCTGCTTGCCAGTGATAACGGGTATACCTAGGACCTTGGATTATAGAGGCCGTTCCGGGATCTCAACTTTCGATGTCCGCATAGGAGACCGCCCGATCCTCCGCTCTTGTCCACGGCCTTGAACCTCCTTGGACGCTGACATGTCCAAATCCGGTAACTTTGCTGACAGATTAGTCAGAAATAGCCCTCAGAATCCCAAAATTTCCTCCCGCGACCTCTCCCGGAGGGCGACCAGTCCGAATTCTGGTCATTTTGTCCGCATAGGTCTCCGGCATCGGCTCGCCGGGGTTGGCTTTTTGTCCGATCGTGACACGGGCGGGTCCCAGGTTTGTCCGGATAGTGACACGGGATCTATCCGTATAATCCAGGGTCCTGTATACCTGCGTTCAGATTACTGTACGATGTAAATAATACCCCGCGTGCAATAAATACGTCCGAGATATATCACCTGAATCAGCTGTCAGCTGGCTGGCGACGGAAGCAAATGTCCAATTTGAAGGCGTTGGACAGTCAGGCACGAGCGATGCAGTGACGAGGACGAGATCTCTTGATGACTGTTCCTCGGCAATCACGACCTTCCAAATACAGAAAAACATACGGTTCGACATACGCCCACGTGTCGGCAATTGGCAGTGCAAATCGGGCATACTACACATGCCAAACACGGTCGATGTCAATGTCCGAAGTATCCATCGATGGCGTGCATCGCATCCTTGCAGTCAGAAATGCTCGCCTTCTATTCCTTCAAGCCTTCGTCGTCTCTCCAACCTACCCTATCCCCGTCCGCGTCTGCATTCGCACAAACGCATATTGTGCAAAACGGTAGAAATCAAAGGTGAGGATCAGTGATGGTGAGCACAGATGATGGGAGGGCGCGCTGTTTGCCGTTTGCTATTCTTTCTCCATGGGAAGTGTGACCTTGTGATATTATTGTGATAAGATGTTTGGGAGGACCCAGGGGGATCAACGCAGTCTCGCCCTTCTCTCTTCCTACCACACACTTGCTTTCGCAGAACTCATCTCGTCTACCATTAGGCATTCTACCACTCTTCAAGCGATATAACTAGGACACAGCCCAAAGTCATGGGAAGCCACGAAAGAGTAGCGCTTCCGCTACAATTCATCATCGTCGGAGGCGGGATCGGCGGACTCGCGTGCGCGTACGCCCTCCAGAAAGTCGGGCACCAGGTCGTCGTACTCGAGCAGAGCGATGGCCAATTTCAGGTGAGCAATCAACCCCGTCACCGCGTTCCGCCCGCTGATCGTCGATCCGAAGAGCAAACGCGGTATTCGATGTCCCCCGAATATGACACGCCCGCTGTACGAGTGGGGACTGGGACCTGCGCTCGAGAGCGCCGCCGTAAAGGCCTCTGGCATCTCGTTCATCGTAGGTGAGTGGTTTAAACCTGCTCCTTCCACGCCAAGAGGGCGGTGTCCGCCAAGTCGCCCGCAGAGCGGCCCTTGCTCGTGGAGGTGGCGGACGCATGCGGCACTGCCGTGCGCGGTGAAGGGAACAAAGACCCTTCGAAGCCTTTCGTTCCCGAGTGCGAGGCACCGGCGGACCGCTCGCTATGCTGTCGCTTTACGGCACCTGGCCTCTGCTGGATTGTCTCTACTACGGCTAACATGACTTGACAGGGGAGACCGGCGAAAAGATCGGCATGACGGTCTTCCATGAAGAAATCATGAAGGCTTTCCGCGCAGACTTCCTCTTCGTCCAGGTAATAAATTTTCTCTCCCACGTACCCTCGTTCAACGTCTAACTACTTTCCAGCACGGTGACATCCACGCCATGCTTCAGGACCTCGCGCTCTCCACAGGCGTCGAGATCCAGTACAACGCCACCGTGGTCGACATCGACCCGTACGGCGGCGTCCCTCCCTTGACGATCGGCCGCGCGCGCTCGCCCGTGGCCGTGCCGGTACTCAACGGCCGCTCCCATTCGCCCGCGCCCGCGCCGAACGGCTACACACATACGCCGTCCCTGTCCTCGTCCTCCTCGCTGCCCTCCACGCCCTCGCGCTCCCCGCCGTCCCTCCCGCACTCGCCCGTCTGTGTCAACTTTGACCCGACAGGGCGCCCCGTAGTGTACCTCGCCTCGGGGGAGGCGGTGACGGGGGATGTCATCCTGGGCACGGATGGCCGGGACAGCTTGGTGAGGAAGACGGTGGTGGGTCATGGGGTCCGGGAGGGCGGGTGGGTGGACGACCAGAATACTTGGAGTCTCAAGTGAGTTGCGCCCGTGGTTGTGCGAATTTTCGGTTGGCTGTTTTCTGACGGACTGCGGTGTTCGTGTAGTCTATCAATACCCACGGATGAAATGAGAGAAGACGATGACCTCAAAGATCTATGTGAGATACAAGATGTGAGTCTCAGGCTCCGGTCTTTCTTTTACCTGAGCACAATGGTTCTCTTCTCGTGGTTTTACCACGCTCGAGGTCTTCTTCGGGAATTCGAAGCTGACGAGGGTGAACTGCAGTGGACGATATGGATGGGCGACGGATACGGCGTGTACGGGTACCTCACAGACGACAAGAAGACGTACTCGCTCGTCATGATCTGGCCCGAGTCGCCGAAGGACAAGCTGTCCGCGGAGTCCGCGTCGTGGCACAAGGAGCATCCGGTCGAAGATATCGATTGGGATAGCAGAGGGATGGAAGTGCGGTCAGTGCTAAATAACGTATCAATGCGGATGGGCTCGCTCACTGAGCGCCGGCGGGCAGGCTACGAAAGCTGATCAATCTCGCAAAGACGTTCACGTGCGCGCAGGATAGCGTGCGGGAGCCGATCGACAGCTGGATGCACGAGAGCGGGAGGGTCGTGCTCGCAGGTGATGCCGCACATCCACTGCTGGTAAGCGCATACGCTACGGTCTCCCGCGATGTCTTCATGTCTGAATATCTACCCTTTCTACCAGCCCACGGGCTCGCATCACGTCGCGATGGCGATCGAGGACGCCGTGACGCTGGCGCACCTCCTGTCGCACGCGATCCTGCCGTCCAACATCCCGCTGCTGCTGACGACGTACGAGGAGCTGCGGCAGCTGCGCACGCACCTGGTGCAGGTGTCCGAGTCGCGCAAGCGCGCGTTCGCGTCGTTCCCGCACGGGCCCGAGCAGGCGACGCGCGACCGCGGGCTGCGCGAGGCGATGCGGGAGGCGCTGCTCGACTGGAAGCACGCGGACGAGGACTATCTGCGCGAGGAGTGGAAGGAGTACGTGGAGCTGTTCAATTACGACGCGCGTGAGGCCGTCGAGGATTGGTGGACAAAGTGGGGCGCGCTGGTGCGGAGGGGCTTGAGGTATAGCTTGAGCAATGGGACGGGGACGAGCGGGAGCGCGTTCAGCGATGGGGACGTGGATACGAGCGGCGAGTGGGACTTTCCCGAGGTCGGGGTGAAGAGCCCACAGGTGAGCGTGAGCATTTCGAGTATATCGGCGGATGGATCGGAGATTGTGCAGTGCGTGGTGTAGATGCTGTGGACGGAGTGGCTGGCTGTATTGTTATCGTTATGTGTTATGGCTCTCCCCGCTTTCTTGGCTTGTACGTACTGTATATACACTATCATCTCGCTTGTTGTCGCGCTGTGTAAATAATGTGTCGATTCGCTCCCTTCTTGTTTTCACCTTCCCTGGGGATTGCCTTCGCATGATTCGGTGTGAAGACGTGAATAGTTGCAATTCGAGTGTACATCAAGGTCGGACTAACAGTGCTTTACAGACTGAATCCTTGTCTTGCGTCGAACGCGTTCTCGAGCTCAGGCCACACCCTGTGCCTGGCAATCTGGTCGCGCATTCCCGGACTTACATGCAGCAGCGAGCAACACGCACCACACTGAGGTCAAAGACAAGTGAAGTTACCCCCAGCCTTGCCCTTTCGAACATACCTTATACCAGCAGAGTCACCTTGAATGAAAGTCGATTTCCGGTGTCAATGCAAAGCACGGTAGACTCCATATGGCAGTCCCCCCCTAGATTCGCCATAAATCATGCAGAACGAGCTTTCATGCTTACAGCAATAGGAACGATTATGGTTCCAGCCTTGAGCTAAGTATACATTATGAGCACTCGCACATCACTATGTCATGCATTACGAGATGGTCCACTTGTAGTACGAACTCCCCGCTACTGTGAGGTCCAACCGACCTACAGCTATGGTTTCCCTAGAGGAGGTGCATGCATCCAACGCATGTGTCGCATCGGAGCTGCCGTCAGGTCTGATCGCAGTATTCGTGGGGGCGACAAGCGGCATCGGCGAGTACACATTGAAGCAATTCGCCAAACATGCACGGCGGCCTCGCATTTACTTTGTTGGCCGTTCTAAAGAGGCTGGGGAGCGTATCGCAACCGAGTGCAAGGCATCGAACCCTGAGGGTTCCTTCACCTTCATCAGAGCCGATGTCAGCCTCATCCGAACCGTTGATGAAGTGTGCAATGACATCAAGCATAAGGAGGACGTCATCAACCTATTATTCCTCAGTGCAGGAGTAATAGTCAAGAGCCAAGGTACGTCTGCAGCTCCATAGCGTCGAGCTGTAGGAGATTGATAAGTTCATGGTATTCCCAGATACTTACGAAAAACTACCTCTGATGTCGTCCGTCGTATACTATTCCCGTACACGCTTCATGGTCAATCTGTTGCCTCACCTTCGCCGAGCCACCGGCCTCCGGCGCGTTGTTACCACTTTGGCGTCTAGTATGGAGGGACCGATTAACACGACGAACCTGCCAGGCAGGAACCTAAACCTCCTCGCATGGCGTGATCAGATTGCGTCGATGATAACATTATCCCTGGAAGCGCTGGCTAAGGAAGCACCTAACGTGAGCTTCATTCATAACTGCCCTCCCCCCGTCAAGTCGAAGCTATTTCGTGGTCTCGGGGCCCCCGGGAAGTTCTTCTTGAAGCTCGTCTTCATGGTCGTCGGCCCTCTGGTGTATGTTCCACCAGAAGAGTGTGGTGACCGTCATGTGTTCCTCATGACGAGTGCAAGATATCCTCCGGGCCGGAGTGGGGATTCACACGTGGCTGGCGTGCCTCTACAGGGACCGCTGCTGGTTACAGATGGGCAAGTGGGAAGCGGAGCTTACGCTATAGACGATAAGGGAGAGAGCGCTGCAGGACAGATTGAGGGCTTGTTTGCCATGTTCAGGAGTGATGGGACAGCAGACAGAGTATGGAGGCATACGCAGGAGGTATTCAGCAGTATTAGGCAGTCCGGGTAGGCTAGTGCATATTTCCGATACAGCATAGGGAAGTCCCCCCTTAGCCCGCTTTTGGAAGTGAACCCTACCCAAACGAGTAGCTGGGGCGCCGCAGCAGTGGTAAACCACGTGCGTGGACCTTGCCGAATATACGGCAAGGAACTTCGTGCTGTTGACTCCCCGTTGTGCTCGCAGTACTATAACCTAGTAGTTGTAATTTATCCTGTAGATAATGTACCAGGAGGAGCTACTGAGCTTTGGGACTCCCCATTGACAGTAGGAGACAGTCTGAAAAGCTACAGTTCTCTCAGCGTGATTTTTGATCCCAGTAAGGCTTCTACTGGGCCACATTTAGTGCCTCGACCCCCCCACTTTAAAGAAATTGTGTACATGAGGTTCTATGCGCTCTTGCGCATTCAGCGCGTACGTTATAGGCAGTATAACCCTCGGTGTAGGGTAGAGGAAGCGTTGAAGAGGTCGAGACTATATACGTGCCGAGGTCCGGCAGATGCCAACCATGTGCACCTGCCGTTTTGGGCGGAGAATCCTGCCCTTTTTGAGCACGCGCGAGAGCCTGGGGGGGG